TGTATCCGAGGTTCGACTAGCGGACGAACTCTCCTCTCCAGCACCCTGGCATAGACTTTCCCAGGGAGGCTGAGGAGTGTGATCCCCCTGTAGTTGGAACACACCCTCCGGTCCCCCTTCTTAAAGATGGGGACCACCACCCCGGTCTGCCAGTCCACAGGCACTGCCCCTGATCTCCACGCAACATTGCTAATGTGTCTATGCGAGCTAATTTGTCATGTGCACCGCTGGACCTGCCATTTATTTTTTTATGCACCTTCTCAGATGAATTCACTGCATGTCATGCCATCAGTTAACCCTTCTCATGCCAACTGTGGCACAAGTGCCCACGGTTGCCGACCCCTGATATCTATCTATCTATCTATCTATCTATCTATCTATCTATCTATCTATCTATCTATCTATCTATCTATATACATATATATATATATATATATATACATACAGCCACAAACATAAATCAATTTTAGTGGAATTCCACGTGAAAGGCCAATACAAAGTGGCGTACACGTGAGAAGTGGAACGAAAATCATACATGATTCCAAACATCTTTTTACAAATAAATAACTGCAAAGTGCTTTTTATTCAGCCCCCTTTGGTCTGAGTGCAGTCAGTTGCCCATAGACATTGCCTGATGAGTGCTAATGACTAAATAGAGTGCACCTGTTTGTAATCTCATGTCAGTACAAATACAGCTGCTCTGTGACGGCCTCAGAGGTTGTCTAAGAGAATATTGGGAGCAACAACACCATGAAGTCCAAAGAACACACCAGACAGGTCAGGGATAAAGTTATTGAGATATTTAAAGCAGGCTTAGGCTACAAAAAGATTTCCCAAGCCTTGAATATCCCACGGAGCTCTGTTCAAGCGATCATTCAGAAATGGAAGGAGTATGGCACAACTTTAAACCTACCAAGACAAGGCCGTCCACCTAAACTCACAGGCCGAACAAGGAGAGCGCTGATCAGAAATGCAGCCAAGAGGCCCATGGTGACTCTGGACGAGCTGCAGAGATCTACAGCTCAGGTGGGGGAATCTGTCCATAGGACAACTATTAGTCGTGCGATGCACAAAGTTGGCCTTTATGGAAGAGTGGCAAGAAGAAAGCTATTGTTAACAGAAAACCATAAGAAGTCCTGTTTGCAGTTTGCCACAAGCCATGTGGGGGACACAGCAAACATGTGGAAGAAGGTGCTCTGGTCAAATGAGACCAAAATGGAACTTTTTGGCCAAAATGCAAAACGCTATGTGTGGCAGAAAACTAACACTGCACATCACTCTGAACACACCATCCCCACTGTCAAATATGGTGGTGGCAGCATCATGCTCTGGGGGTGCTTCTCTTCAGCAAGGACAGGGAAGCTGGTCAGAGTTGATGGGAAGATGGATGGAGCCAAATACAGAGCAATCTTGGAAGAAAACCTCTTGGAGTCTGCAAAAGACTTGAGACTGTCGCGGAGGTTCACCTTCCACCAGGACAACGACCCTAAACATAAAGCCAGGGCAACAATGGAATGGTTTAAAACAAAACATATCCATGTGTTAGAATGGCCCAGTCAAAGTCCAGATCTAAATCCAATCGAGAATCTGTGGCAAGATCTGAAAACTGCTGTTCACAAACGCTGTCCATCTAATCTGAGCTGGAGCTGTTTTGCAAAGAAGAATGGGCAAGGATTTCAGTCTGTAGATGTGCAAAGCTGGTAGAGACATACCCTAAATGACTGGCAGCTGGAATTGCAGCAAAAGGTGGTTCTACAAAGTATTGACTCAGGGGGCTGAATAATTACGCACACCCCACTTTTCAGTTATTTATTTGTAAAAAATGTTTGGAATTATGTATGATTTTATTAGGTGTTATTAGGTGAAAAGTCACGTAGACATGTAGATTGCTTAGTGATCAATAAAAAGCACATTTCATGGAGCTGATCACATTATATAAAAATAATTTTCCTTTGACATTTTCGTTCCACTTCTCACTTGTTTACCACTTTGTATTGGTCTTTCACGTGAAATTCCAATAAAATTGATTCATGTTTGTGGCTGTAATGTGACAAAATGTGGAAAAGTTCAAGGGGACCGAATACTTTTGCAAGCCACTGTATATATGTAGCGCCTAGCGGCCTCTTCATGGTTTCCATTTGCCTGTGGGATGCCCACATATGTTTCGAGCAAATGTTAGAACACTTTTGCAAATATGTCATGTCTTAATAAATCGAGCTGATATTTGAAGTTTACACAGCAACATTCTAGCCTGAAAATATCTTAAAAGTGTATTTTGTAATCCAAAAAGAGTAATATTTCAAACTCCGCCACACTACGTTCCCCCGCAACTGCCTTGTTTGAGTTTTGGACAAAATGCATTCTGGGATATTTGCCTGGGTTTGGCTACAGTAGCCAGCGAGCTGATTGGAGACCAAAACAGCCAATCAGAATTTTTGCATCCAAGTCTGTGATTGGTTGGTTTTGTGGCACAAATATAACGCTGTACAGAAAGAGTTGAATGTGCAGGGGCAGAGATGTTGAGAGCACGAGCAACACATTGCGAGATCCGCAGAGATCTGAGCAAGAACAAATGCAAAAACTGAGCGAGAGGGGCTGTTGTTGTGTGTGTATATGGATAATAGCAAACACTGAAATACATTTTTTGCACGCAGCAATGAATTTTGTTCGATCAAATTTAGCATTTCTTCACTCAAAATACATTTCTCCTCAAAATGGCACTCATCATCAGAAAGGTTGCCAACCCCTGAGAGTCAAGTAAGTCAGCATCAACTCAGGTTCAGTTCCAAGGTGTTCCTGAAATAGAGGAAAAATATCCATTTTTGTGCTTTTACAAAGTTTAACTCACCTGAAATGAAAGAAGTAATGGATGGCCTACTCCTTTGCTGAAAACCAAGAAAAGCTCCACCAATTAAGGAGGCAATTAGCTGAAGATGTAGTTTTCTGTCATTAAGGACAATCTGAAATCAATGGGTATTTCCATACATACATACATGGATCTGGAGGTTAAAATTGTTTAGTAATCGCATGATGTAAGATACATTAGCAAACGATTTTAGCGGTATTTAGGGAGCAAATAAAAATAAGCAGACACTTAAGTCATGGCACTGCCCTCATATTCTCAGACATAATATTTGTGGTCATTCCAGCAGGAACACTAAATTAGTGGCAGATATGAAAGTGATCACAGCACAAAAAATATTTTAAAAAGTTAGCACAGTTCACTTTAGCTTTTAATTTCCTGGCAAAAAATGTGTCACACACACTTTGTTGTTGTTGTAAAACTGTTATTCTCTGTAAGTGAATGCAGTGTGCATAGATCTTATTGTTAGATGATCCTGTGTAATTAAATAAAGATCAAATGAGCATTATTATAGAATTCTTAAAACATCATTCACTAACTGTACTACTACGTCTCTGTAATTTCTTCTAGACAAAGCATGTCCTGCAGGATGGAGCAAGTTTAGCTGTAACTGTTATCTCCTCTCTGAAAGCTCTGCTTCCTGGGATGCAGCCAGAAAGAACTGCAGAGACAGAGGAGCAGATCTGATGGTTATTGACACTCCTGAAGAACAGGTACAGTGTTTGTGTATGTGTGTGTTATTGTGTTTGTAAATAAATATTAAAGTTCAAACTCCTGTTTATTTTAATGTGAACAATTTGTCCGGTTTTGAACAAAAATCTAGAAATTAATACATATCTACAACACATTTACTACACATAAAACCCTGAAGCAACTATAATTTTGTCTCAGTGAGAAAAAAAAAGGTAGACTTTTCTGTTTTCGCAATTTCTGGAGAAATTGCAGTGAGATTGTTGCTACTGGTGGTCTGTAGCTTGCCTCTGGTGCATCTAAAATGCTGGAGGCAATGAGTTAAAGGCTGGTTAACAAAGTTAAAAGCAGATGCCTCATACATACATGGGCAGGTAATTAGATTTTCTGTGTGTGATTAAAAGAATAAGAAAAAAAGACTTGAAAAATGTAATTGTGAAAAAAGTCCCATGCTGTATTTTAACTCACAACATCGACATGCAAGGAAGAGGTGAAAAAGAGGTAACTCTGCCATTAACTAAAAAGTGAAATTTTCAGAAGTGGTGCAAGATTTAGAAAATCAGAATAGAAACACACAGTGGATAATTGAGCCAGTCATTTTGAGGTATGAATAGTTTGTCTACCACAAATGGTGTGAGACTAGTTAGGGAAGAAGAAGCGTCTAATAACATACACTGGGACTGCTGCTTTGCAACAATCCCACAGATTACAGTGAATGAAACCCTTGGAAGTTAGAAAATTAAATTATTAACTGTACAAGAACACATGCAATGTAGTTTCCAAAGATTCTTCCACTGATTCACTGCAAAACAGAGCACTTCCTATGAGCTGGACAGGAGTTTGTAGCCAAGGGGCAGGTGCTGTCACGGTTCTGGGTCCGTTGGACCCAGTATTTTGAGTTTATTGTATTTTGGTTTTAGTTTACTTCTGGGATTGTTTTCTTGTTGTTTATGATGATGATGATTATGATGTTTATTTGAGTTTCATGTTTCTGTTTATGTTTAGGATTCGTTCTTCAGTGGTGTCGGCTTAGTATTTGTCCAGGTTCCATGTGTCATTTTCTGTCTGTCTCTCTGTCGAGTCTGCGCCTTTGTGTGATGGTTTCTTGTTCCTGTTTTATTGTGAAGGTCTGCGTCTCATGTGAGTGTGTTCAGTTTTGCCTTTGTCTCGTCTTGTTGATCACTCCCAGCTGCGTCCACCACCTGTGTGTTATTTCCCTGTGATTCTCGGTGTATTTAAGTCATGTCTTCCGTCATTGTAGTTGCTGGTCCGTCTGTGTATTCCACCCTGCGTCATCTGTGTGTTTCCCTGCTTCCCGCCTAGTGTTTCCGCTCGTTCTCATTCAGGTTTGTGTCTCGTAGTTTTAGTTGTTTCCCAGTATAGTTTAGTTTTCCTTGTTGCCGTTTGCCTTTCTTTTTGTGTTTAATAAACCACCTTCACACCCTCACGACTGCCTGCACTTGGATCCTTCATTTCCTCCTCCACACGGCTCACCTCACTCGCCGTGACAGGTGCATCCGATAATTTGAAGACAATTTTTCATTACTATTAGTATACTAATACACTATTTATTGTTTCCACTGTACATGTTTGTCCTACAAACTGTAATGCTCCACTCTACCTGTTTGTTTTTTAACTCTGACACACTAATACATGCTTTAGTAAAAGTTATGTTTTATGAAGTGTGTGGGACATCATGAAATGAGCAAACACTTCTAAGATAATTTTGAACACGCTTATAATATGTTTAGACAGTATTAAGAGATTTTAGAGGCAATAACTTATTCATTGTTAAAAAAAACAACATAACAAATAAATTAAAGGTTGGAGTGTATAAAAGCATGTTGCCTGTTAAGTGGTGTGTTTTCCTGTATTAGCTGTGGAAAATGTATCTCCATTGTTGAGGGTAAATGCTGCAATAAATATGTAAAAGCAAAACAAGGGGAAAAAGGAAAGAGAAAATGGTTTAATTAGTGGTGGTTTAGGATTTTTTTAAAAATAGATTTTAGATGAAATTTGAATAAATTGTGGTTCAAATCTAAAATGAAAGTCTTTTCTTTTTTTTAAATTTTCTATTAAACAGATGATCCTCTCTGTAATCATCACAGAAGACGCTTGGATTGGTTTGAATGACAAAGAAAAGGAGGGAACATGGAAATGGGTAGATGGAACCCCACTGACTTTCAGGTAAGACTTCTCTTTTGGTTTAGTTTACTACTTTTATTACATTTCGAAAAGATATTTGTAAAACCCATACATATATGCAGAGATACCCACATTGGTCTAGCAAAGTTTTGCCAGGGGGGCCAGGTAGGGCATTAACAGGGAGAGGGGGCTATAAGTCCAAAATTTTGTAATAGCTGTACAAATGTAGAAGAAGACAAAACATTTACCGTGAGATAACAAACAGTCTCTAATATGAGAGCATTAGATTTAGAGCAATTGGCAGTACATTGAGTGCCACATATTTTAATAAATCTGGCCCTAAATATTCCTTCTCCTTTAATATCACCCTTTGTAATTAAGTTTTATTTTTCACAGGTTTCAAATGTTGACCTCTGTAAAACAGTAGTTTAAGAAATCATGGTGCTGAAGTCATATGCCCAATTTGTAGTCATTTCCTGGTTATTTTAACATGGCAGACATCCAGTGACTTTGTTAAAGAGAGTAGAGAATGGTGTTCAGGTTCTCAGCACACTGCTCTTCTGTTTTTCAAAGTCCTTATCAATTCTCCTACCCACCTGATAATATGTTCAGCAAGGAAAACTGGTTTGGAAAGGTTCATAACATGTACTTTTGGAACGTACACTTTGATTGAATTTATTACTTTTACTGAATTTTCAGCAGAAATAAGCTCATTGGTGGGCTGAGCTGTCAGTGGGTTTAGTCAAACTAGAAACTGCTGAGTTATATTTAGCATAGCCTATACGGTCAGAACTGCTCAGCAAATTACCACAGTTATATTGCTATAAACACTGACTTAAAAAAATAGACTCCTTTATATAAGTCTTTTGTCAAATACAATAATTCTCTTGTTCACTAACTTGTCAGGAACTGGATGGCAAAACAACCGGATAACGGTGGTGGAGACCCAAACTGGGGTGAAGAGGACTGCGTTCAAGTACAAACTGATGCATCGTGGAATGATCTTTCATGTTCAGCCTCTATAAAATGGATCTGTGAAAAACATACAACAGAATAATTCATTGACCACTGTCTGACATGTATTTACTAATTCAGCTGTGCCTTTTATTTTATCCTACATGTCATTTTCACTCCATTTTAACTTCTTCTTTTTTTGTAGCTAAAAATGTGCAACCTTTTAAATCTAAAGTTATGTTTATGCCAGTGTTACACACTGAAGGACGACAGGGTTCATTCAGGTGCACATGAAGATTTATTGCGCTGAAACGCAGCAAAACAATTCAGTGTTACTGGCGGCTTCCATTGTAATAACTGGCCTGCGTTACTTTTGTAGCATTACGTGTAATGGCCACGTATTAATCAGCCCTTAACACACAGAGAAAATGACCAGTAAACAAAAGACAACATAACATGTACTGGCTGGTCTATTTCCTATAACTTTAACTGAAACCAGCTAACAGTTTCCTTTCACCTTACTGATGGAACAACACAGTTACAGAAATTAATGCAGGAGGCTAACATGACTTAGCTAGCGCACAAATGTTGCTAGCATTACCCAAAGATAACGTGAAACAACTCCCTTATTCGCTCACATTAAACACCATATAAACAAGAATTACACTCCAAACATGTTAAATAAGCATCAACTTT